GGGAAAGAAACACATACATACCCAAATAGGCGTGATAGTCAAAATATGTAACTGATCTGGCTGAGGCATTAACCAATCAAAACAGACACTCAACCAATCACAACAAATTCCAGCCATAAAAACAAATTTATAATTGTTTTCCATTTAATATTTATTTAATATTTTAATGTTATAACAAATACCCCATAAGTAAAAAAGGATGTCAGAGAAGATGCTAGCTAAAGATGCCTCATTAACGTATTAAGTACCAGAGATGTTTACAACACCTCACAGTACATGATAACTTTATAAGCCATGATATAAGTTGAAATACAACAATAAAATATATACCCACAGACAACATACTGGAGACTCTCCAGTGAAAATAGGTGGCAAAAGAAGTAGCTGCAGTTACCCAAGAAAGAATATACACCTGAGAATCCTCGTAAAACTATTTAGTCACTGATCATAACAAATGAAAAATTTCGTGGAGTAAAACAGGGNAGAATCCTCGTAAAACTATTTAGTCACTGATCATAACAAATGAAAAATTTTGTGGAGTAGAACAGTTAAGATCAATGCAAATTCTAAACCTGCATCTTTATAATTAAAGATTTTTAAGGATATGAGGCATTCTTCATTGTAGTTTGAGAGGAATATTTATTCTACTCGTCACAAAGCAATATGAAAAGTTAAGCAGCTGTCAAGATATAATAAAGTCTGTAATTTGAAGCAGAAATAAGATGTTTTGCTTAATTATATGTGGGAGTTAATTAGATTTATCATATATGCTATACTTGACCTTTCTATAATGTGATTGCTAAATAAACGGTTACATAAATAAACTTTGTGTACGTATGCACTGTGCGCAGACAATACCATGCAAACTCAGTGTACTGAGGCAACGCACTAACCGTACAAGCACCTTCCTTGGCACTGCTCAGGTTCTGGTCACCACTGTACCACGTGAACTGGAAGTCCTGGGACTGGGGAACGTGGGACATCTCCGCTTTGCTTTTAAATTCCAGTGTCAAAATGGTGGGTGGTAAAAGAATGCTTATGATGATCTTTAAAAGAACACAAAGCAAAACACATAGTAGGGGTTAAACAAGGCAAAGTATTATTCAAATAACAAAATTAAGATTTTAGTGTGTATAAAATGTCAGAACCATCACCAATTCGATTGATATCCTGATTCTATACATACTTTTTAACTCAACTATTCCAATTCTAGAAGCATCTCCCTCAGAAATACTCATGAATGAAAACATATGTAGGGTTATTTGTAATAGGAAAAAACTAGGTGCCAACATAAATGAACATCTATAGAGGGACAGCTGGTGTGGGGCAACTGATAGTGAAATACCACACAACCATTAAAAAGACAAAAAGCGATTTTGAATATGATGAAAAGGCATCCAAGTTATATCAAGTGAAAAAAGCAAGTTACATAACAATATAATATGACCCTATTTTTGTAAAAAAAAGAAAAAATATATATGCACATACATTTAAAAGTTTTAAAATATGTAGATCATCCCTTTGTCGCCACAGAGGAATCTATGTGAAATAATTTATGAATGACTTTTCTCTTATTTCTGCAATCTCATTAGTGGAATTAAAATGTGCAAGCTCTTTTATATATTTTATATCTTCTATATTTTATTTCTTTGTGTTTTCTATAGTGTATCCACCAAAAATATATTTTTAAGAACAGTCATTCCATTTGGGACACACCGTATTTTTAAGAACTGTAGGGAGAATAAAATTAAAGTATAAAATATAGTCTCATGGAGTTCTTAAAGCTCGTGCCTTATCCCCTTTTTTTCAGTTTCATTGGCACATGCACTTGAGCTTAACCACAACCTAAAGCTGNAAAGCTCGTGCCTTATCCCCTTTTTTTCAGTTTCATTGGCACATGCACTTCTTGAGCTTAACCACAACCTAAAGCTGTAGGCTNTTCATTGGCACATGCACTTGAGCTTAACCACAACCTAAAGCTGTAGGTTTAATGTCAGAAGTTAAATGCCTTTAAGTGGTTAAGTAAATTACTCTTGATAATTCAAGATGAGAGTTGAGGCTAAACTGTCATGGAATAGAAGAATCTGGAGACAGTCAGTGGTATGAACAACTGTAGTTGGGGGCAACTTTATAAGACAGCCATTTATTCCCTGAAACATCACAGTGAATGAGCAGAAGAAAAGAAATTGCTAATTTTATTTAGTTTATTATGAGTATTCCTAAGTGGAGCAAAATTTCACTTAAAAAAACCTCATTTACTTCTGTTATAATTATCAGAGAAAACGAAGTTTACTACTAATGAAATCTTGTGTATGGTTGTATATGGTTCTAACGTCTTCTAGCCACCTTCATGATTATGCCTCTGGGGTGGATGGACAAAGCTGGTAGGATTATCCCTGTTTTTTAAAACACTCTGTGGTAGTAGGAGACAAAGTAGTTGTCAGGTCCCAGCTCATGTGTGAGAATCAAAGATATTAATTGGTGTTCTGAAGATACTCTTTTGGAACAAGGGGAAGAAATGAACTCAAGAGTACAGGCCTTCAGATGAAACTAATATTAAACTCTACAAAGCAAGCAAAGGTACCTTTAACCAAGAGATTTTCATTTTCAGGCGCCCCATCCACATGTCCGTCAGTAGCATCTGGGTACAAGTATGGGAAACAAAGGGCCGCAACCCTCCAGACACCGCCAGTTTCAAACAGGTGGAATTGCTCCAGTTCTTGAGTTCATAGGTCAGCAGCTTCATGGCCATTCTCTCATTCTGCTTGAATGCCTTTTCCAGCACGTCCAGGGCAAGCTGGCCAAACTGTCTGCAATGACACGGGGGCGAGAGGCGAAAACAAATGCCCGTGAGAGCCCCATAAACATTCAAAAAGGTTAGACCTGAGACTCAGAAAAGACCGATACAAAAGGGCAAACAGCAACTTAATAATCTCAGTTTGCAGAAGCTGTTTGAAAGGGACTGCTGCTCAGGAAATGGATTGCTGTCCCTTTCCTGAAGGACCAGAACTAGGGGGCTCACTTACATTGTGGCATAGAGAACTTGGTTCACACCAGGAGTGCCTGAGATATGCACGGGGGGAAGCCACTTCACACCACAAAACAGGCAATACAGAGCTTGGTTTGAGGCTCCCTGGTAAGATCTAATAAAGAAGTTTTTACAGAAAATACTGTTCAAAACTGACTAGCAAATAAGGAAAATTGTGGAACTGCTTTTTTTAAAAAAGGTCTCATAAAATATATAGACGACTTAAGGAAGGAACCAGACCTGAAGACATTTTCTGGAAGGTTTCTCTAAAAAGTAGATGCTTTTCAAAATCAAAATTATAAATGTGTTTCTATTCACTCCAGCTGCCCAGTTTTCCTCACCACTATAACGCTTTCATAACCAAGAAATCAAAAGCATTTTTTACTTTTCTACCTGCCAACATCACACTCTGGTTCTTTAATACATAAAAGATTTATTTGTTTTTCTGGCTGAGAGATACTTAAAGTAAACCACTAGTTTTAATTTAACTTACTATTCGGGAGTTGAGAGTTGGGAGGGACTTTCAAAATCATTAACCTACCATTTTGCAATAGGAACCTAAAGTCCCAAAATCTAGTCAACTGACTTGCCCAATTAGTAAACAGCTGCACTAGGATTAGAACCCAAGTCTCCTGACTTGAAGGCCATGTCTCTTTCCTTTATTCCACAAAGTCCTTAAAATACCTCAAGAGCCTATTTACAGGAAAGTGCATGCAATGCACAGCAACAGGTCCACTCAGCTCAGAAGCTCTAAGGTGAGGGGGGGAGGCAGCAGTGTCTGACCATCCTAAGGACCGCCGACGCTCAGTGCGCGGTGAAGAGGGAGCCCCTACTTGGAGTAATCTCTCATCTCCTCCGAGGCGCCGTCCACCATGCTGCTCTGCTGGGCCTCCCGGGCCATGGCTCGGTAGAGTATGCAGGCAATCACCGCCTTCACCGTGGCCTCCTCGCCGTGCTGCCAGAAGAACATGGCCATCTTCTGCCTTTTCATGAGCACGGCCCACACCAGCAGGTCATTATAAGGGTAAATAAAGCCGGTGGCCTCAGGGTCGTCGGGTATATTTTGTTCTTTTGATTTCTTCCTTGATTTATGAAGGACGACAGTCTTTTCCTGTTGGGAAATAAAACAGGAAAGGTTTCCCAATACTCAGAGACGTGGTGTTCTCCCTAATGAAACGCATCGGCATCTTAGAGATGGAAATTAAATAATGGAACTTTAGATTCCACATATAAGTGAAATTATATGGTACTCTAAAGAAAAATAAACAAAGAAAACAGAAAAAGACTCGTAAGTACAAAGAACAGACTGATGGCTGCCAGAGGGGTGGGCGAGGTGAGGGACAGGGTGCAGAAGATGAAGGGACTGAGAAGTACAGATGGGTAGCGACAAAACAGTCACGGGGACACAAAGCACAGCCTAGGGAATACAGTCGATAAAATTGTGGTAACTATGTATGGTGCCAGATGGAAACTGGAAATATCGGGGTCAGTGAAGGGGGCAGTCACATTGTAAAGTCGTCTAATCACTATGCTGCACACCTGAAACTAATACAAATAATGCTCGAATGTAAGCTGTAATTGAAATAAATAAATAGTTATCAAAATCAGTTAAAAATAATAATAATAGAACTTTATAAACCAAAAACCAAAACTTTGGCCTTCAAGGTAATCTATTTCTTTTGTATCAAACAGTTCCAGTGTCCCTTAGCTGAGATACCCTAAATTCATTTAGTACAACTTAAAACACTGCACCTTTGGAACAGAGCCACTAACTATATGACAACTTTTAATTTCCCAAGGAAATGAGTTGAAATAATATACTGGATAAGTGACAACTATTAAGCAAAACTCTAATCTCACCTTACAACCAGATTCATTATCCCCTTAAAAAAGTCACTAGTGTTGCCAACATGCACCCAAATAGATTGGGTTTAAGTTTCCTTTCTTTATTCTGATTATAGTCCTCTAGTGAGGGCAATGGGTAATGATGAAATACTAGTCTCCACTTGGTAAACCCACCCTTTACAGCTCATCTCAGATGCTACTCTCCAACCCACTGTGTTTGTCTGTAACTCTGCATGTGTCTCAATTTCGATGCCCATCATACAGCACTATAGTTATTACTTTGGGGAAGGTGGGACCATTTCTCAGTCATCATTATATTTTCCCCAACCCACCTGCACCCCAAATTCAACCCAGCACCCAACATAATGCCTGGAAAATAATAAGATTCAATAATTATTCTTTTTCATTAAAGGGGGGCAGTTCATAGCAAAAACTGTAATACGCTTCCTTTATTTCTATAAATAAAGGAAGTTTGTATTCATTCATGATTAATGGTAATTTTATTTAAAAATCTTTTCATTCTAGGAGCTCTGGACAACAAACCTCTTTCAGCCCACATAGGCACCATTTATATGGAAACTCCTGAGCAATGCATTCATCCCCAGAGGCGAGTGGGACCGAGGTCGTAAGGCGAGAGGGGGGATAACATTATGTACACAGGCGCACACACATTATTGTTGTCATACTGTAACATTGAGCTAAAATAAATTTTAAGAAAGCCTCAAAGGGGAAATAACAAGATGCAAAAGGGCAATCTAAGAGAGGAGTGAAGGAGAAGGACGTAGTCACATCCAATTAGCCGCAGGAAAAGGGGATGCTGGCTTGGTGCTGGCTTAGCAATTACATTTTTCATACCATCCCATGGACGGCCTTCCTGAGTCACCATCTGGACCAGGTGGCAGTAGGAACAAGGAGGACAGGCTAAAGTGCCAACCCCAGGTATCAGCTCCCAGTATCAGTTCCCAGTGCTCTGTTTTGGGCCTTTGCTCATTGATACAGGACAGCTGTGTTATGCTTTGGATTTGCACTATTTATTTATGGTGCTTGTAAATGGTCCCTCTATTTGTACCTCCCTTTCTCCAATTTTAAATGAAGCAATCAGTGGTCTCAGTATACAAGAACAATTTTCTTTTCAAATCCATAAATAAATGACAGTACCTTGAGTTTGTAAGGCTGGGCAGTTCTAATGAACTGGGAATGCAGTGTGCTTTCTGCAGATTCCTTTCTAGTTCCTGAGGCGCATCTCCGGGGAGCATGGGGCTGGGAAAGGCTCTGAGCAAAGCTGGTCACTCTCTGAAATATATTATTTTTAAAATAAAACAAAAAGGGAAAAAGAAGATTATAGTAGTGACAATTAACATTTTATTTCTAGACACTAATTAAAACCAAGCATAATACTGTCCTACCAAATATCCAATGACATTCTCTCATCAGTGATTAGTAATTAATCATTAATCAGATTAATTACTTACTGACCCAAAAAGAGCCTCTCATGATGTCCTTCTTATTAAGGGCCCTGTTATTTCCTAACACCTTAGAAAATGTGCTCTTTTTTCCCCTATTATGTATCTGCATTCCTTCTCTATGTGGAAATTCCATTAGAAATCAATGGATGTTCCATACATGGAACAAGTTCAGAATAGGCAATAAAGATACACTGTTCTGATAAGAAAAAGTCCCCATTCACAAACAGCTGCAAGGTGAAGGTGAAGCTAGAAAGTTATGGAATTTCTCCACGTGTTATATAATATCGCCACTGGAATTCCAGCGGCGAGGCACAACAACACAATTCATTGCTCACCAGCATGAAGCTTTCATCAATGAGAAAACAAAAAGACGCATTCGTAAAGGGTCTAACATAAAAATTTGTGACATGAATCACACACTTCGAACTATTTTATTTTTATTTTTAGTTTATGTGTTATGGATATAAATTAGATATAGAAGTGATAGAGTGAAGACTTTTTAAAAATAATACTCAAGTTATTATTGTGATAGAGAATTAGTAGTATCATTAGTAATAATCATAATAGCTATTATTAACAGCTACTCTATACCCTTTATGAAAAACCCAGAAATGTGGGTTTTTCAGACATTATTTTTAGTCCTTTTGATAATTTATAAATGGAGTATTATTAGCCCCCTTTTATAGATGAGAAAACTGGCACAGAGAGGTTAAGTTTCTTGCTCAAGATTATGCAGTTACTAATGAACAAAACAAAGACTCAGTTCCAGATCTCTCTGACTCCAAGCTATGTGTTTGTAACTCTATGATCTAATTTAGTAAGCAATACAATAAACTCTGTGCTTCTTCAGTAGAAAATAATCAGACAAATGGGTCATGTTCTACTCATTCCTGGAAAGGGCACCAGGGCACGTGCCTGGCCTGCTCCCCGCTGGACTGACCGAGGCCACAGCCAGTCCTCGTACCTGCCCCTGGCAGCCGCACAGCAAGGTGTATTTTGTTTAAATGAAGGAGCTGATGCCTCAAATGTGTCCCTATGCCTTGGAAATTTCAATAAAGCACATTTTTTTCTGTGAGATTTGGGTTTCTTTCTGTTTTGTTATTTCATGTCCTCAAACCAAGTTGGGCTTTCACATCACCTAATTCTTTATGGATAAAGGTCAAAAGTAGCTTGAGCCCGGCCGGGCGTGGCTCAGAGGTTGAGCGTCGACCTAGGGTCAGGAGATCGGGGTTCGATTCCCAGTCAGGGCACATGCCCGGGTTGCGGGCTCGATCCCCAGTCGGGGGCGTGCAGGAGGCAGCCGATCGATGACTCCCCCATCATTGATGGATCTACCTCTCTCTCCCTCTCCCCTCCTCTCTCTGAAACCAATAAAGATATATTTAAAAAAAAAAAAAAGTAGCTTGATATTCTGGACTCTTCACATGATCTCACACCAAAGTGCCTTTCCATTCTCACCCCTCACAACCTCCTGGCCCTTCTCCACGACAAAGGTCTCCTTGTCGCTGCAAAAATGTGCCGACGTCCACAGCATTGTGCCTGCACTGCCTCTGTTCCCTCTCAACCAAAAAGGCCCCTTTTCTAACATCCATTATCCTCTAACAAGAATTCGTCTCTTCAGTTTACTGGCCTGTAAAGGCACCTTTGAGAAACAAGCAACGTTTTCTCTGCTAATCAACCAACCAGTCTGATTTTACATTCCTAGACTTTTAAAACTATAATGAAAAATAAAGTATGTAAAATATGTACTTTTAAGTACATGCTGCACGCATCTTTCAATATCATCCCCATACCTGTCCCAAGTTTGTCATCTCCATGCTATGAACCACCATGGTTTATAGATCAAATCCTATTAAGCTTTAGTCTTCCGTATTTTCAAAAGAAAAAGAAAGAAAAGTAAAGAACTGGTCACCTCTCCCCCTAAACTTTATTTCTATGCCAACATCACGTTATTTCTATGCCAACAGAGCACATATTACATTCTGTCCTGTGTGACGGCTAACAGTCTGTGAATTTGTTTCCTCTACGAGTTTCTAGACTCCTAACCTTTATGTCCACCCCAGGCCAGCATGCCAGTAAATACCCCAAAACTGTCGACACACAGAATGTCCATTTTAGAAGCTATTCCCATCTGCACTCCCCAAGCCACTTTTTTAAAAGTATTACTATTAATTATCCTTAGTTTTACTAAGATGCTTTTCAATTGTGCTACCTTGTGTTTTCTGTAGAGATTGTAGAGGATTCTGAAATTCTTCCTAGTGTAGCTGCTGCGATACGCTCCACCAATGAGATACTCTATCACCAGCCCAATGTCAATCAGTGTTATTCTGTAGCCTGCAAGAAGGGTGTGCTGAAACAAAAACACATAATCAATTATAACTTTCGGTTCCCTTTTTCTGCTTTCCCATGCCATCAGAACACAGCCAAATCAACTGCAAAGAGGTAGACACGTACTTTTCAATCATCTTTACAAACCTATCAATTACTATGGCCAGCCATCAATAAAAAACTGCTTGGTCAGATAAGAAAGGATACTTAGCTTTAATATGGTTTTAGTTTTCTAGACAATGAATGTCTGTTTATATCTGCTCATTCATTCTCTTTTTTCTCTCAAGCATACACATACTTTAGAATAAAATCCATTTAAATATAGTATTAAAAATTATTTTTAACTGGAAATAACAACACCTGGTTAAATTTTCAGCCTCTCTCTTTATGAGGATGGTTATAACACTTTGCATTGTGTTGACAGCATCATACACAAAATAAGAAAACAGAAGGAAGTAGAACAAATAGAAATAAGGAACATGGGATGGGAAAACCAAATGAGATAGCAAAAGGTGAGGCTATGCCAAGACAAATTTTATGGTTGGTAGGAGAGCTGAGCAGCAGATTTCCAAGTACATGGGTCTTAGTCTAAATGAAAATTATTTTATCTCCTAAAAACCCACCATACTACCTCTTCAAAAATGTTACTTCTGGACCAGCAGGCATGGCTCAGTGGTTGAGCATTGACCTATGATCCAGGAGATCGAGGTTCGATTTCCGGTCGGTGCAGGCTCAATACCCAGCTCAGTACCCAATAATGACTCTCTCATCATTGATGTTTCTATCTCTCTCTCCCTCTCCCTTCCTTTCTCTGAAATCAATAAAAACATATTTTTTTTAAAAATGTTACTTCTGAAGTGCAATTCACAGGACAATTTTAAAGGCACACAGAGTGCTGAACAAGATCTCTGTGAATAATGTTCACAAAGCTTTGGACAGGAAATAAGGTGATATATGTATACATGTAAATATATAAATAATTTAATTTCTCTTTTTAACATTCATAATTTACTTCTTTCAAGAAACAATAAAAATTATGCTCTCATTTGCTGCTAGTTAAGAGCCTATTTAAGCTGTTCCATTCCTTTTTCTTCAGTTTACTGGGATAGAATCAGAGTTTAAGGAAATAATCCAAGGAAAATCATTTTGATCTATCACAAATTGATGCAAACTAAATTTACATTGGCACAGACACATTTGCTTACTACTAATTTGCCAACTAAATGTCTCCTTCCGTAGTCCTTTCACTCTGGATCGCCCACCACGTCAATATAACCAGGAAGCCTATACTCTGTGAAGATATTAGACTTCCCGAAATGAGGAGAGAATTTTTCAGACATGTGTGGATGGATGTTAATCATGGTGACAAATGAAAAGCACTCCCAGGGTTCTGCACGTGTGAATAAAAGTTCTTGGTAATTGAAAGAGAAGGAATTAAGGCGTAAAAATCTGTTAGAGTTGAGAAGCTTGAGTAAGTAATGGGACAGTTTTAAATCTGACTTACCTCAAAGTTCAGTGGAAACACAATGAGCAAAATATGAGGAAGTGTATAGAGCAGTGGGATTCATCCTAGTTCCCTAGAACAACGCTTAGACTCAGAAAAGCGAGAGTCCCCAAGCTATCACCAAGGTATCACTAACAGTCAAAATAATCATGACAAAAACAATGGAAATCATATGTCTTTCGATAAAGGCAACAGGATCGGGAAGTATCTTTATTTTCAACAGGTATTATTATCACCATTGGCAACACTCTTGTACCACGTTGAACTGAAGTTCTGATTAGAAGTTTTATATGCCTCTGGTTCATGTTTTATAAGAGAAAATAATTATTAGCTAATGGCACTTAGTCGGTGGATCAAATCTTTAAAATTACAAAGTAAATAATAGGAAAAATGTAAGAATGTGGCTTGGTGATGAAATTGGTGATAACCTTCATAACTAGGTTACCTGTTTCACATCTCGGACAAGATGATGCAAAAGCATATTAGTAGGTCCTTGTTTCTGTAATAAAGAACAAAAGGAAGAATTTTAATTACCTTTTAATTACCATATGCTTGGAGGCTAACTTTATTTCAGAATGCATAAATAATCCAGAATACTGAAAATTTTCTTCAACGTCTTTAGTAATGAAGCTTAAGCCACATTAATTCCGAGGAAGATGTTTCCCAAGAGAAGGTATCATTAGATTGAAATAGTTTTTAAAGCAAGATGTATACAGGTAGGTAGTAAGGATTTAGGTTTATGTGAAAAGAGGCAGAAATAAATTTTAAATAATTTATAACTATCTTTTAACATATATAAACTACACAATTACAAATTCCATCACACAATTACATTCCATCAACAACTATATATATATTCAGTCAAGCTTCTGAGGGAGGCAATGAAGAATATAAGTACTTTATTTGCAGGGTTTTTACAGTCTAATAGAAAAGAATGAGTACTCTACTCACACAAAAAATAACCAACAATATGAAAGCGTGTGTGCTCAATAGTTGAAAATAATTTGTACTATAGGGACAGGTCAAAAAGACAGGACTTGAGTAAGGCTTTGAAGAAAGGCTAAGAGTCAAAAGACGAAGAAGGGCATTTCAAGAAGGGTGCGTGACTTGAGCAATCGTTGTTTTTACAATGAGTAAGCCAGTCTAGTTTCGATAAAGAGTTGCATAGGAAAGTTGCAGAAACAGAATTTTAACAGCAGCCTTAGGTTGAGATGCTTTCAATAACTCAATAAAACTCATTTGTACTTATTCCCATCTGTGGCATTAATTATGATCTTACTACAATACTTTCTTAAGTTGGTTTATGCTTCCATACTGTGTAGTTAATGATCACAATACAGAGATGACCCTAGATTCAGATGGAATCGGTAAGAATATTTCTCCTTTGGTTGAAAAGTCTGTCTCTCTATAAGCTGTATTTGTACATGAACATTCAAGAAGACTTGAACATTCAAGCTAAATCTTAAGGTAAGTTTTAAAGAAGGTGATTGATGAAATGTTCCAATACTCACTGTATTATAGAGCTCTTCCAGTCGAGGGATGGTAAGAAAGCGATGGAGATTCACTCCATACTCTATTAAGAGCTTCACAAAATCCACCCGATCCATCACTAACGCATCCAACATTGCTTGTTCCAGTGAGCCAGGCTTCAGAGGGTAGAAATAAATGAAAGAAAAAAAGACATTTAAGGAAGTAAAAATAACTAAAAGATTATGTGTATTTGAATTCAAAACTATGCAGACACAGTAAATATAAAATAAGATCTTACTTCAGCACCTGAGTGAAGAAATAACAAAAAGTGAACTTGAGGACATAAAGAACATCTTGAATAAATTTGCTCAGGTGGGAAGACTGACTATTGTAAAGATCTCAATGCTTCCCAAATAAATGTGCAGGTTTAACACAATTCTAATAAAAATCCGTCTTGGTTTTTTTTTCTTTTTTTTATAACTTGGAGTGTTTCCATTTAAACTACACCTGGCTTTGAGGTATATATGGCAAATTAAACACATTCATGTACTTTTACTCCTACCTAAAACTCCATTAAACTATAGTAAAGGGATTTTCTCTTTTAAGAAATGAATCCACAAGAACATGGAGGTCAAGAGAGCAACATTTTAAAAGTTGGAAAGCAAATGGTCACATAGTAATTGACTTAGCAGTGTCCAGAAAGCCAGAAAGTGAAAGTCCCCAGAAACTGAAACTGGGAAAAGTCAACAACCAAATCTATGCCACAGAATTCTGACAGCACCAGGACAAAATAAATGCACGTATTCTGAATTTCTCATGTTTCCCAGTCATCTTCTCCCACTTAACTTTCATAACATGAGCAACAAGGCTTTTATCTTTTTTTATTTTTTTTAAATATGCCTTTATTGATTTCAGAGAGAGGAAGGGAGGGAGAGAGAGTGATAGAAACATCAATGATGAGAGAGTCATTGATCGGCTGCCTCCTACACGCCCTCAACTGGGGATCCAGCCTGCAACCTGGACATGTGCCCTGACTGGGAATCGAACTGCCATGTCCTGGTCGATGCTCAACTGCTGAGCCACACCCAGCTGGGCAGGGCTTTTATCTTTGAGGCAGGGGATTGAAGGTTTTTTTCTGGTATTGTGACTAAGACACGAGAAAACATATGAATATGCTGACTGCTCAGGTCCACCAACAAATGCCCCCACTGTGAAGCTCCAACCTACAGGCCTAGGCATTTCTAATGATCTTTCTCTCCTCCACTCTTAAATAAAAAGTCCAGCACAAACAGACCACAAAACATCAACTAAGAGGAATCTGGCAATGCAGGAAGAAGAAAACTTCAAAAGAACCATTATTAATATCCTCAGAAATAAAAGAAGACATTTGTATTCAGGATGCCATTTTTAAAATAGGGCAAAGAACAAATTTGCTCTTAGAAATTAATAGTATGCTACCAGAAACAAAAAGCTACCTGCAAGGCATGAAAATTAAAGTTGAAGACATCTACCAAAGAAAATGCATATTAGATAAAAGAAATAATACAAAATTAGAGGAGCCATGGCCCAACATTTAATTAATAGGAATTCTACAAAGAGAACAGAGAAAACAGGGGAAGAAATTCCCCAGAATAGAAACACACGACTGCCAAATTGAAAACATCTGTTCAGCATAATGGATATAAAAACTCAAAACAACACATATATATTTGAACCCTCAGAACACTGGAAAAACAGAAGATTTTTTTGAACTTCCAGGGGAGGAAAAAATGGTCACAAAGGATCAAAAAGTAGAAAGACTTTTACTTCCTAACAGCAATGCTGGATATTAGAAGATAAGCATTCAGAATTCTCTAGATTTATTTTCAATCTTGAATTAAAATATATTCAAACACATAAGTCTTCAAAATATTCTATACTCCCTTTCTCAGGAAGCTACTGAAGGATGCACACCACCAAAATAAAGGAGTAAACCAAGAAAGAAGAAGACAGGAAATACAGAAAATGGGCGTCCTAACACAAGAGGGAATCCCCAAGACAAGGAAGGATGACAGTCCAGCACCAGGAATCACAGGCAACCAGTCCAGACTGCAGTGGTGAAGAACACAGAGAAGCATTGAGAGGCCTCTAAAACTGATGAATCAGAAGACAGCATATGACTTACCGCAGTAAACAGTTAAATAGGCATGAAGAGAGCAAGGACAGTGGGTCAGGTATGGAAGGTCACCAGGGCAGGGCAGAAAGCCCCGAGTGTCTAGCAACAGACAATTGTAGGGTAAGACCTCGCCCCCAGGGTAACCTTTCCTCCCCAAGCATATTGCTGGTCATGCGATTTAGGCCCTTCACCTTTCATATTGCTGGTCATAGGATTTGGACCCTCCCCTGACCTTTCCTCCCCTGGGAGGTTGTTAGTCATGTGATAAACCCCCTTAGAAGAGGAACAGGGGGCAGAGAATAGTCTCATATGACCCCCATACAAGCCCTTGCATGACCACTCCCTTAAGCTTTAAGACCTCAAGACAACCCTGGCCAGGTTGCTCAGTTGGTTAGAGCGTCATCTCATACAGCAGGAGGTTGCGGGTTCAATTCCTGGTCAGGGCATATACCTAGGTTGCAGGTTTGATCCCCAGTCTGGGCATGTATGGGAGGAAACCTATCAATGTTTCTTTCTCATATCGATGTCTCTCTCTCTCCATCCCCCTTCCTCCTCTCTAAAAATCAATAAAAATAATGCTTGGGTGAGGGTTAAAAAAAAACACCTCAGGGCAATGAGGTTCTGATCTGCATCAAATAATCTTAGGAACAAAGCCTTGGGTCTGTTGACCACAGAGACAGAGTTTTGGTCAAGCTAGAGATAACATCAGATGTGTTTCAGCTCCAGGCCCAGAAAAGCAGCAAGGCCAGTCAGGGTGACATCAGGGCTGATATCAGGACCAGTTTCCATGACTCATGACCCCCTTCCCTGGTGCTGACCAATCAGTGGAGACCATGACCACGAAAGGACACACCTGGAAAGCTGATGAATATTTTATTGAAATCCTTCCCTGGGACCTCCCCTAAAATTCCAAACCATAAAACCCTTAGGAGAGAAGACCCAGCACAGCTCTCTCTTGAGCCCACCTGTGCCTTTTCTCACCCCCTTCTTTCCCCAGAACACCCAAGTCTTTCCCCCTCTCCTTCCCCTGGGCTCATATATTCTTGCTTTCTTTCCTTAAATTCCAAAAGCCCTTCTTTTGCCTCTGTAGTTTGTTTCCTGACCCCATTTCTTCAGCTCACTTCTACCTCTGTGACTTTCTAAATAAACTTTGCATATAGTTTGAGTCTTAGCTCTGAATTCTTTCTTAGCCAGAGCTCAAAAGTACAGAGGTTGCTGAACCAAGGTAAAGTCTGACTCCACCGGTCTAACACCTGGTGCCATTTCACAGCCATTATTATTTAGAAATAAGGAAGTTTATAAATACAGAACAGTCAAAAATGTCAAAAGTACTTGGCTCTTAGGATTAGCAGGGCAAAGACCTATTGTGTTTTTTAATAGATTTTTAGTACCATTTGATGTTTTAAACAATATGTATGTATTAGTCTGACCCCAAAATAAACTACCGATGGTATAGTAACAACTAATTTTTTAAATGAAATGTTAATAGTAATTATGATTACCACTATAGATAATTTTTCTTCTGTCTACTTTTCTGTTTTCATTCATTTCTACTATGAGCACATAATAATTTAATGCAAAAACATAAAATAAACTTAAAGTTTTAAATAATGATATAAAAATCTGCCCATTCAAAAAATAAAAATCCTTCTAATTTGTCGTTTCCCCAACTTCCTTTGTCAGCTTCAATTAGGCTGCAGAGCCAGAGGAATAGAAATGTTTTCAGGGAGTCAAAGTAGATGAGAGAAATGTTTTTGTGATCCCTGGGCACCTAGCTATGGAGATGCTACCCCCACACCACTCCCAAATCAATTAATCTCTCCTCCAATTTCCTCTTTTGCCCCTCCCTAACAAACCAACACAAAAATATTTTTTCCAAATAACTTCATTTTTATTATACCTTCCAATGTTGTCCATGTATTAGGATATGTTTCTGGGCAATGTCTGTCCTGTCCCAAGCCATTGCCAGGTTTAATTGTTCAGATGCTGATAAATTTGTGCCTAGAGTAAAAGAAAGGAACAATCATATATTCTATTTAAAATGTCAACATATGAAGCACAAAGTGCCATTGAATGTGAAAACAGGAAGTAAGGAACAGTTTTAACCCTGTCAGACACTCACCTTTTAACAGAGCTGTTAGGATTGCTAGATCAAGGTCTTGCAACTCCTCAGAATCAGCCTCAAATATGATAATCTATAACAGTTGGAAAACATAAAGCCATACATTTTGGAAACTAGCAAAGAAATGCTTTCAAGACTATCCACAAAATTCATTCTTGAGCTAATGAATTGAGGAAAACAATCTTTATTAATGTCAATAATCACTGAATTTTTTTAAAATAATGTTGTACTTGTAGAAAAGAAAAATTTTTACATAGGGTAATAGAGAATTGTGGGCATGCAGGGGAAAAAATATCTAAAAAATTCCGTGTATCCCAGAGGAAACATATAAAAGAACATTACTGCATTAATTTACTGTGCACGTACTACAAGGAAAGAAACTCAGTTCGGTTCCTTGTGTAAAGAAAAGCATCCTTCATTTTAAAGGAATACCAAATGAGATCCTTCTGTTTACCTAGCTTTAGAAACAAACACTTTTGCTTTTTAATGAGAAGTGAATCCTCATGGATTTGTCATAAAATAAGTGAGGCAATTGCAGTGCACCCAATGAGCAAGTACAACAAACAATACACTGTCATCACAATGACAAAGTGTCCTGGGCAACCCCTCATGTGACTAATTTTTTAAGACAAATAAAGATATTATTTATTATTATAAAAGGTCTCCTACTGTTAATGAATGTATCTCAGTCTTTCCAAATAAAAATATATTTTATATAGTAGAGGGAGCTGTTCAACAAAAAAGAGCCTAAACTGGCAAGTTCTAGCCCCAGATATGCCACTAACTACTCAACCTTGGGTAAGTATCTTATGATCACTGAATCTGAGGTTCCTCACCCATGTTATGAGAGGAACCCTAACCTCCAAGGTCCCATTAAAGGCAGAAAAACTATGCTTCTACAATTCGCACACTGGTTCCTTCCACCTAACAGTCCTTCTATATGCATGAATAAAATCAACCCTCAATTGTACAGGAGCTGAGAACCTAATTCCTATAGTGTGCAAACACTTAATTGCCTTCTCCAGTTCTCTCTTGATATTACACCGCCACTCATTAGTATTTCTCCCTGATGACAGGAAGAGGCAAATATAAGAGTGATCTCTGTAACGTGTCCTTTCCTTAACTTACTGACTATTGTAGGAAATATAAAATGTAGTAGACCATGTATGAGATTTCAACTCTGAGCTCAAGTTTCAGTTCTATTTCATAATTTCATGACTGTAAATCACCCAATTTCTCTAGGTTTCTGCTCCATCTTCTCTGAAACTGAACTAAGCTATCACTGCCACATTCAACTCACTCAAGGGGCTAGACTGAGTGAGAAATATGTCTGAAAGCACACTGCTAATGATAGATACGGTTGTTATTTTTGTTGTTATTAAGTCAACTAAAACCGCAAGACTTTTTCACATATGCTTAGCCACACTTTGTCTAGCCTGAACTTGTTCAATTGGTTTTTTGAGGCCAGGTGCTTAGAGATGACCAAAATCTTGAATAATTGGGCCCAGCCTTCAAATTCTGGAAAGATCACCGTAAATCCTATCTGCATATTTACTGTAATTGTCAGCTTCATATTAGCTGAGTCATTGATAAAAATTTTCATAAAAGGCCCTAAAACACTAAAATCTTTTCCTGGAATCTACATTATGTTCATAACCCAGAGCGTGTGGACTCCATTTTCTATCCCAGATATATCGTCACGTTTCCCACCGAGGTACGTCCTTAACCGTCTCCTGCAGGGTTTACTCAGGATGCCACGATGCAGCCATCGAGCCCGGCAGACCTGAGTTCACTCAAGACAAGGAGCTGTTCCTTTACCCACTGAAAAGATTTGTTACCCGGCCGGGCGTGGCTCTGCGGTTGAGCGTCGACCTAGGATCCAGGAGATCAGGGTTCGATTCCCGGTCAGGGCACATGCCCGGGTGGCGGGCTCGATCCCCAGTCGGGGGCGTGCAGGAGGCAGCCGATCAATGACTCTCTCATCATTGATGTTTCTCTCTCTCCCTCTCCTTTCCTCTCTCTGAAATCAATAAAGATATATTTTAAAAAAAACAAAACAAAAAAACACAAAAGGTTTGTTTAATTTTCATGAAGTTAATCACTTTATGTACTATTGCTATGCTACCTGAGTGCTTTCTCCCAGGTACAGCTGGGAATTCGAAACAGAGGGTGGGGGAGTTCAGAAACCAAGTTACTCAACTAAGGGTCAAGTTCGGTAGAGTTATATACTAAGTTAAAAATGAAAAATTCCATACTCTCAAAAATGGTGAAAATAAACATACAAGTGTTAAAATTAACACTCACAGAATCCCTGTGCGCCATGCACTCCATGAGAATCTGGAACAGGTGCCTGGTCTGTTTGAGGCTGAAGTTGAAAGTGTTCTGAATCATGCAGCTGATCTCCTCCTTCACCTGAGGGCGCAGGGTCCTGGGGGAGAGAAGTGGCCGTGACTGGACACATCGCAGAGAAGGGAACAAGGCAGCAACATCAGTACAAGAAAAGCAACCGTCTGCCCCACCTGAGAGGGTCCTAAGGACAGTTCTGCCGAGGAAGAAATGAGCAGGGGGCAAGCAGAGAGAAGCAGCGGCCCGGGCGTCTGAATTTGGAAGAGAGCGTGGCCTGATCTGCCAGGATCCTGGCAAGACTACACTTGGGGCAAGGTCCTCAGACTGAAAGATATCCAGGAGGCTATCAATCTCCAGAAATTATGGGCATCATATTCTCAAAAGGATCCGAAACCCCAAAAGGTTCAAAAACCACTCATCAAGGGTGACTAGGAAAGGGAGAGGTGTGAAAGGAGACGGAAGGAGGTAGAGGGTAGAAGCAGGGAGCTGGGGGCTGAAAGGGAGGGAAATTGTAAGGAAAGAATCGTCAGAAAGCAATTCTAACATAAGCATGAATGCTTAGTAAGTAAATTAGCAGGGTCAGTATTTTAGTTCATTAGCACTTTATTTACTCACACGGTAGAAACATCATGCTTTTGAAATCGGAAGAATCACAATGGATATGGGGGGGTGGCCGGAGAAAAATTACCTTCTTATTTTAAAAGGGGTAAAGAGTTAAACCTTCAAATAAACACAAAATACGCTGTATAAAAGCCAGGATGTCGATTTCCCCAATCCTGCTATTTTTACTAATGGTCAATGACCTTGAAGGTGATCCAGTCACACTGGTTTCCTCACTCACTGCAGATTTTTTTCAGCTTTAATGGCCATTTGCAGGAGCATCTCCTCCCACACTCTCCCTGCAAATGCTTTTTCCAGAAGCTCAGACAAGGCTCAAGGTCATTCTTCAGCTAAGGAAACAGCAACTTCCATCACTGGAGGGCATTTTGATTAATAAATACAAAAATCACTGAAAAATGAATTCCAGTCTCCACCTCTGTCCTCCAGGAATATCTGGCCCACATAAAAGCAGAGCTTAAAGAACTACAATGAAGGAACAGTCACAGAGTTCCAAAAGTGAGAGTCAACCACTTACCCTTCGTCTGCTAGGTGTTTGTGGGTGAAGGCCAGGAGGTCGGCCGCCCTGCCAGTGCCTTCACACACCACCACGGGGTGTTTGTCCTTCACGGTCTCCCACACTGAGAGGATGACATTGGGACCTCCTTCCACCACCAGCCCCACCATGGGCACGCCTTGTCTTGAGCCTATTTCAGATGACAAACAATACCAAACTGTGATTTCCAGACACAAGTGTTTCGATCGCCACGTACATTTGTTACCTGCTCTACCCCTCTCTTTTTGACTCAGACTTGCTTAGTTCAAGACAAGCCAGAAGCTTGGACTTTTACATAAAAGTCGCATAACTACGGTGTCAGCATCTTCAAGTTTCTCTGGTTTTAAAAAAAAAGTAGCTAAAAAGGGTTTCAGTAATTTTTAAAAATAAGTATAGTCTTCAAGAAATAGTAACATTTCATAGGGGAAAATTTCAAACCTGTCTGAAAGAAAACAGAGTGATACAATGGATCCCGAAGTATCCATCACTCATCTCCAAAAATGATCAAACTTCTGCCAATTCAATCAACTTTTAATGGTGGTTACTTCTATAAACAAGATGGAAAGAGTAACCCTCAAAGACGTTCACATTTCAATTTACTGTATTTTTTACTGTTTGAATTTCTTATCATGACTATATATTACTTTATTAAAGTAAAGAAAACAAAAAAAAAGTGTTTGAAGTCATTCTTTTTTGTTGTTTTCCCTTTTTTTAGAGAGAGAGAGTGGAAAGGAGGGGGAGAGAGAGAAGGGAAAGAGAGAGAGACATCAATGAGAGAGACAGACACATGGATTGGTCGTCTCCTGAACATGCCCCAGTTTTCTAGTTCTCTCAGGCCAGTCTCTTTGCTGTTCTTCAGTCATTCCCATTCCCTCCTCTCTCTCTCTATCCACCCAACCCTCAGGACTCCTGGAGACTCTGCTAAAGTCTCTGCTCTTCCACAAAACCTCCCCCGTCTCTACTGTCCCCCCTTTATTTTTTCCTGTCTCCCAGCTGTAACCCACAGCACCTAGCTCCATGCAGGCCCCCAGCCAGGACGTGCTGGCTGAACCCCTGTGGTACTCACAGCTGTGTATTTTCTGCAGAGAGAGATACTTTTCCAGGTTCCTCCTGAGCTTCATCTCATTTCCATACTTGCCCACGGTCCCGTCATCAGACAGGATGAAGTGGGAATGCATGCTGTTGAGTGTGGTGAGCTTGCTGAGGGGGTTCCCCAGGGTCTGGTACAGGCACACCACCTGCAAGGACAAAGGAGGGTCAGAGCTCGAGACCCTTCCAGTGGTTCAGCTGCTCCAAAGGCCTGTCTCTGCACCGTGGAGTTCTTGTTGAGGTTAAAAAGCATGATTTGCTACCAAGAGCAGTGCTTCTCAAGCTCTCTGTGGTGAAGGATCAATTGGGTGGTATGTTTTTTAATTTCCCATTTTTTTATTGACCAATATGTCCTACTATGCGTGACTAGTATGCACTTCTGCTCATGAGATTCAACGGTGCAAGTTCAACAGCACACTTACACCCACTGCTCAGCAAGAGCCCACTCACCTCGTGTGTGGATGTCACAGCGCTGCCACATTGCTAAAAATGCTTCTAAATATTGTTTTCAATTTCAGTACTTACCTTGCTTCAGAAGATTAAAAAGCAGTTCAAGAATCAGCATCTTTACACAGACTAAAGTGTCCAGAAAATATGCCTTTAGCAGATCTATTCCAGAATAGTATTTTGACACTGATTTTCTAGTATTTCAAATGAGATGAAGACTACCAGCCAATCAAATGGCAATTCATTCTATATAAAACATCCAGATCTTTATTAACATTTATAAACTCTTCCTTAAGCTATTCCAATTTTTTTTGTTTTCTTGTTTGTTTTTTGTTAATACTCACCAGAGGATAGATATTTTTTCCCATTGATTTTCTGAGAGAGTGGAAAGGAGGGAGAGGGGAGAGAGAGAGCGAAACATCGATGTAAGAGACACGCATCAATTGGTTGCCTTGATTGATTGCCTCCCGCGCAGCCCCAACCAGGGCCTGGGTTCGAACCTGCAATCCAGCTACGTGCCCTTGACCAGGACTCAAACCCAAGACCTTTCGGTGCTCAGGCCCACGCTCTAACCACTCAAACATGCCGTCCAGGGCAGCAATTCCAATTCTTATTTGTTTTTCGAGATCAGAGGACAGGATTTGGATTCAAAGAGCACAAGTTTAACTCCAGACTCTTCTTACTAACTCTGGGTAATCCCTGCCTCCTTTCTCAGACTGATGTTCTTCATGTATAAATAGAGATGATAATAATTTCTACATCAGAGGGTTGCTGTAAGGCTTAAAAGAAATAATGAATGTAAAAAGCACTATAAGCTTTACAAACATTATTCCTAAAAAGTTACCTTTATAATTCCTAAGGATGACACTGAGGCCAGAAATAAAAATGAAAGTTATTGATAGATTAAATACATATTTTTTATTCATGGAATAATGATCATAAATAATATAAAATAAAATCTTGAGGAAATGCAGCATACATGACAAACAAAAATGTAAACAGACTGAATTACAACATAAAAGGTCTTTCAAAATATAATAATTATACTTAAAAATGCACAAAAACCACATGAAACAATGTTGAACTTCACTAGTAATCAAAGATATGTAAATAAGAACAGGTAAGTATTATTTTATATCTACCAAAATGGCAAATTTTTTTAAAGGCCAAAATACCCAGGGCTAGCAATGGAACAGAAAAATGGGCACCCTCACACCCTGTTGGTAGGAATGCAAATTGTTACTTCCTTTTTGGAAGTCAGTGAGTCACATTTTTAAAGGTAGATACCAACTAGCCCAAGCATACTACTTTGAGAATAACTTTAAAGGAAATAAAGCCAGCTAACTTCAAAGATCTATATATCTTATTACAACATTAATATCACTTTTGTAATAGGGAAAAACAAGAAATTTACCTAAATAAACAATAACAGAGGAATAGTTAAATATAGTACAGTGGAATATTATGAGGCATGAAAAATCAAAATGCACTGCTAGCCCCCCCAGAATTTTGTCTGTTAATACTATTTCCCACTAAAAGCAACCACTCATTTCTCTAAGAGCAAAAAATATATACAGTGAACCCAGAACATTTTTTCATAGCAAAATGCAAGAAAGCTGTGGAAAATAACTAGAATTATGTGAAAAGGACTCAGGAGACAACTCAAAAAAGCTCCACTGGGCAAAAGGAGACCATTTGAGCATGATTAAGAATAATAACTGTAATGGATTGAAACATACTAAATACGTTTAAATTCATAAATAATAAAAAATCTCATGATTCACCCTGGAGGATGGTAGATAATCATCTCATTGATTTGTAAACCAGCAAATAAAGAGGAAGAGTCAAGCATTTATTCTACCCTCTCCTATAGAACTGCACCACAAGGTAAACCAAGTGGCTGGTAAGAAAATGTTTTTCTCTATAGAGTGTTTAACATAATAAATGAAGAAAGAACACTATAATAAATATTAGCACTTTGCAACCTTACTGAAATAACAAATGTAGGCAATGACATCATAAAAAGAGATAATCAGCCCTGGCCAGTTTGGCTTAGTGGTTAGAGCGTCGGCCCTCAGACCAAGGGGTCTCAGGTTCAATTCCGGGCCAACCTCTCTCACATCAATGTCTCTCTCTCTTTCCCCCTCTCTCCCTTTCACTCTTTCTAAAAAATCAGTGGAAAAATATCCTCTGGTGAGGATTAACAGGGAAAAAAAGCAAAAGGGCACAAAATAAATATTTACCAAAAAAAAGAGAGAGATAATCATAGGTTACCAGGGATGGGCACACGTCCTATGGCGTAAACCTGCACAGATAAAAGGTGAATCTGATCATGCCTTTGGGTCAATTTACAGGAGAGACAGGAGAGAGAGGAAAAGGCTAAACCCTACAAAGGGGTTAAATCTGCAATCCAATCTGTGGGAAACTCTTCAGGTCAAATGACCCAGTTTCTTCAACAAATAAATGGCCAAAAAGGAAAAGAAAAAAAAGAGATGGAGGGAAAATCTATATATTAAAAGTGATTTTAAATGACTCATTTCAAAAAACAAGTCACTCAAAGACCTATCAACCCATCATGATATAGGAAACTTTTTTGGATGATATCAAACAACTAAAAAACTATGAGACAATCAGAAACTTGAACACAGACTGGATATTTGATGATATTCAGAAATTATTATTAATTTTTTAGGTATGGTAACAGAAAACTAGCTATATTTTTTAATTGTCCATATACTTTAGAAATACCTATTGAAATATTTACTAATGGAGTTTGCTTCAAAATAATGGAGGGAGGAGGTGTGGAGTGGATAATGGAATAGATGAAACAAATTTGGCTATAAGTTCGTAAGTTGAAGCTGGGAGATGGGAAAACAGGAGCTCAGTATTCTAATCTATCTTCTCTTTTATTACTTTTAAATTTTCCAAAATGAAATGTTAAACTAAACCATAAGCATGTCTATAGTAATTGACATAGAACAATAACTACTGTATGTTAAATAGTTAAGCTAAAAGAACAGATTTGCAGTAGTGGGTTTCAGTTATTACTTATTTTACATACAATTTTTTTTTACTATACATATGCACAGATACAAAGAAAAAATTCTGGAATAATACACACCAAAATGTTAACCATACTTATCTTCCTTCTTCATACCTTTTATTATAGCTGAGATTTTTACCAAAAATATCCATTAGTCATAAACATAATTAGACAAATCTATTCTCTTTAGAAAAACAAACAGATGGAACTAAAGAATCAACACACAGGAATGAATGAAGCAGGGAATAGTACGAGACGAGGGGAGCGAGGGGCCAAATCATGAATGTCCTTATTTTGCTGCGTGCCCTCCACTGCAAGGAGCTTGCCTGTTCTTCTGAGTGAGGCAGGATCCACTAAAGGGTTTTTCACAGAGGAGTAGCATGATCTGGTTTATATTTTAGAAGAACCATTCTGGCTACTGTGTTTAGAATAGACTGTAGTAAGAGACAAGGGTGAGAGTAGGGATGGCTATTGTAATCATCCAGGTGACAAAAAATGGTGACTTGAACCTGACTCAGTCACAGTAGGGATCATGAGAAGAGGTCAGATTTGGGGATGATGATAGATGATGACAGATAGACAGATAGATGATAGGTATGTTTTAATTTAATCCTCACCTGAGTATATTTTTCCCATTGCTTTTCAGAGAGAATGGAAGGGGGGAGAGAGAGAAAGAGAGAGAGGGAGAGAAGAATGGATGTGAGAGAGACATATTGATTGGTTGCCTCCCACACGTGCCCCAACCAGGGTCGGGGATCGAGCCTGTAACCAAGGTACATGCCTTCGGCAGGAATTGAACCCAGGACCCTTCATTCTACAGGCCGACCTCTAACCACTGAGCAAGCCAGCTAGGGCTGGATATATTTTAAAATTAAAGCTGAGATAATATAGTGATGGATCAAGTTTGAGGCATGAGACTAAGATTATACCAAGATGAGTGCAAGGTTTTTCTTGAACAACTGCAAGGATGGACTTGTCACTTTCGAAGATAGGGTAAGGAAGGCAGAAGGAGTCAGAAGTTGATATTGGATATATTACATTCCGTATGTTCATTAGCTATCCAGCTACAGTGCTAAGTGGGCAATCAGATACATGTTCATTTCCTTTTGTTGTGAAAGGGTTGTCTACTTACATCTTTTCCAATAAGATCTCTCTGGTTCTCAATGACACCCCAAGGAGGGATTCCAACTGTCCAAATTTTTCTCAAACACTGGGAGAAATGGGCTTTCAAGGCATCCCCAACATGTTTGGACACTCCTGTGAACAACCAGTTTAGAAGTCAAGCTTTAACTTGCAAATCATGAGAAAACAACCCGACTCTCAGAAAAAGACAAATAGACAAGTATATGCAAAGAGACATTGTTAGGAAAAGTTGTTGCCCACGGCGGAATTTAATTCCTTATCTTGGCTTCCTCTGCTCCCTCTTGACATCTCCTTACCTGAACAATTCTCCTCTCGCTATGAGCAGTTTCTGCTTACCACCTCAATTTTGCCCCCACACTTGCCTGACCAGAATGTCCTGTAAGCCCAGGCCTGAAATCACAAATGCTCTAAGGATTTTTTTTCTCTAACCTTCTCTACTGCTCCAGCAAAACATCCTTCAGGCGTGTTCCTTGCTTCATTCAGGCAAGTTATTTTAATAGTTTTATATACACAAATATTCCAGAGCTAATACATTAATGCCCTTCTGGGATTAATAATAGTAGCAATAATTATAACAGCCAACTCTTACTATGCACCAGTTGTTTTACATGTGTTTACACTTTAAGTAGAAACTTTCTTAGTCCATTAGTCAATTTTATAGGTAAAAATTAAGGCATAAAGAAGTGAAATAACTTGCTCAAGGTTATAAAGCTGGTAATTTGCAGAGCTTGGATTCTTATCCAGGATATCTGATTTTTCTTAAAAAACTTCACTTTTTAGACCAGTTTTAGGTTCATAGTAAAACTGAATGTACAGGGAATTTCCATAAGCCCCCTACCCCCACACAACCGCAGCCTCCCCTACTATCAACAACTCCCACCAGAGTGGTACATTTATTACAACTGATGAGCCTACAATGACACTTCATAATCACCCCAAGTTCACAGTTGACATTAGAGTTCAGTCTTGGTGTTTTACACTCTATGGGTTCAGACAAATGTATAAATGATATGTATTCACCATTATAGTGTCATATAGAGTATTTTCACTGCCCTAAACATCCTCTGCTCTCTGCCTATTCACTCCAGCTCTCTCCCATCTCCAATCTAACCCCTGGCAACCACTGATCTTTTTACTGTCTTCATAGTTTTGCCTTTTCCAGAATGTCTTATAGTTGGAATATGCAGTATGTAGCCCCTTGAGATCGGCTCAATCTGACTTTTAATCACAGTGCTGCATTGCATTCTTTATTTATCCTATGTATAGCACTGACTCTGTATATGACATTAGCACAGAAAAAAATAATAACCCTGCACAGTGCGTGCACCTGATGCATAGTACCTAAATCATTCCCCTCTCTCTGCATCCTCCCTCCCAACCCATCTTTTGCACTTCTCCAAGAGTCATTTTCCAGAATCAGAGTTCTAGACCACAGGCACACAGCAATATCACTGTGAAGCCATCCACCACAATAGATACTCGGATTCTGTAGGTTTGGCATGGGTTACCAGCATGGTGGTGGTTTTTCAGCAGCCCACATGTGATCCTAGTACACATTGTCTGTTGAAATTCTCTGTAGAACCAGATCTGACCATGACATTCTCTGTTCATTCTCCTGTTCGGAATCCTTCGAAGGCTGCCTGTTACATAGAGAATAAAACCTCGGCCCATCAGCATAGCACCCAATCTGGCCCCAGTCTCCCTTGCTATCCCTGCCTCTACCACATGGCACCTCCAGCTGGTGACCTCTTTCTACACATGCCTTAATCTCCAGCTGTGTGCCTAGCCTGGGGCTACCACTCTACTTAGACAACCTCTTCATAATCTTCCATCAAGGCCAATACCAAGTGCTATACCCTTCTCCAAGCCTTCCCAGGTACCCTCAGTTGGAACTAGAATTTATCTTTTCCTTTTACTCCCAAACACTTTCTTTGTATCTCAACAATGTCCCACCTTTAGTTATTGCTTATTGCCTATTTGCTTACTGTCACAACCTACCCCATCACTAAACCCAGAGCTTGTATCTTCCTCATCTTTCCATCCACAAAAGCTATCCAACTGCTTTATAAGTAGTAGATTCTTAAGGCTTGTACAATTTAATTTAAGTAAATGTCAAAAATTGATGCCAAGTAATGTTTAACCACAATTGAGAAGCATCTCAAGAACAGGCAGAAGTTCATAAGCAAAGCTTCTTAAATGTAAGTGTGCATAAGAATCATCTGGGGATGTTGTCAAAATGTAGATCCTGATCCTGTTGGTTGAGGGAGGAGCCTGAGATCTGCATTCCCAACAAGCTCCCAGGGGATGCTGATGCTGCTGGTCCGGGGACCACTTCTTGAGTAGTCAAGCCCTAAGGAGTTGTGGTTGAATCAGATCAGGCCTTAATTATTCTGTTTTGTTTTGTTTTGCTTTGAGAGAGAGAAGGAGGGAGAGAGAGAGAGGGAAATGGAGAGAGACATCAGTTAGCTTTTCCACTTATTTATGCACTCATTGGTTCTTGTATGTTCCCTAACCAGGAATCGAACCCACAACCTTGGCTTATCAGGACGATGCTCTAACCAACTGAATACCTTGCCAGGGCAAACTTAATAATTGTTTAAGGAAGCTCCAAGTATGTATCATTTCTCATTTATTTTGTTCATATGAACTGTTTCAATAGTCTTCACACTATTATATTTGTGTTCCTTAACTGGTCGTAACCAGTTTAAAGAAAGTGTTTAAAGAAAAAAAAAGGCAATAAGTAAAATAAAGCACATAATGCAGCGATGCAGTTAATTGGCCTTACCCAAGTCTATGTTTTTCTGAACTCTGCAAAACTTCCCAACCTACTGCCTTTTGTACTGGAAATAAAATAAGTACTGTACAACAGACTAAGAATCCCACCAACTTCATTTTCTTCCAAGAATCTGAAACAATAATTATCTCAATAAAACAACCAGGTTACCCATTGATGACAAGCCAAATCCTTTGGTTTTATTTTGCTTTGGTTTTCAGTCATTTGCTTCCTTCATTCCTTTCAGTCAGAAGAAATGATTTGTCAAACCAGCATCTGTTGCTCAATGCCTAGCAGATGTGTAGGCCCTGGTGTCTAGCTAACAACCAGGAAGAGAAGCTAATACACAGGCTCATGCTAACGGATAAGGAAAAGCAGAGAATGCTGCAAGTGCTATAGGCAGTAAATGCTATAGAAATTAAGAGACAAAAGTGAGTTGAGATAAAGAATGCTTCATGGGTATGTTGGCATCTAATGTAGCTCTTAAAGGATGGGCTGAATTTAATAGGAGACACTGCCCGGCCGGGCATGGCTCCACGATTGAGCATCGACCTAGGATCCAGGAGATCAAGGTTCGATTCCCGGTCAGGGCACGTGACTGGGTTGAGGGCTGAGTCTCCAGTGGGGAGCGTGTAGGAGGCAGCCGATCAATGACTCTCTCATCGCTGATGTGTGTGTGTGTGTCTCTCTCTCCCTTCCTCTCTCTGAAATCAATAAAGATATATTAAAAAAAAATAGGAGGCATTGACTAGGACCAATCAAAATCAAAAGAAAGGGAAATAAAAGATGAAAAACCATAGTGATATTATGATTTATAATAAGAAATATATATTTGGTTTTCATCCTATTCCTGACAGAGCTCCTTAAACCCTGGAACTTCCTAAGTGGCGAGAGTAACAAAGGTATGTTAATGAGGTGACTCCAGGACTGCACCAAAGCATGGGGCTGGTTGCCAGGGGAACCAACCAAGCCTTTAGAGGCTTGGAACTTTCAGCTCCACCCCCTGACCTCCAGGGATGGAAGGCAGCTGGAGAGTTAGTTCAATCAGCAATGGCCAATGATTTGATCAGTCATGCCTATATGACAGAGCCTCCATAAAAACCAAATGGCCAGGGTTTAGAGAGCTTCCAGGTGGGAGAACAGGTGGAGAAGAGGGGAGGGCATGGAAGCTCTGTGCCCCTTCCCACACACCTTGCCCTATGCATCTCTTCCACCTGGCTATTTCTGAGTTATAACTCTTTTATAATAAACTGGTAATCAAGTGAGTAAACTGGTTTCCTAAGTTCTGTGAGCGACTCTAGCAAATTAGAAGGAGGATGTCATGGGAACCTCTGATTTATAGTCAGTTGGTTAGAACTACAGATAACAATCTGGACTTATGACTGGCATCTGAAGTGGGGATAGTCTTGTGGGACTGAGCCCTTAACCCGTGGAAGCTGATACTATTTCCAGGTAGACTATCAGGATTGAGTTGAATTATAGGACACAGTTGGTGTCAAACAACAATGTGTTGAGAAAGAACCCAAACATCAGAATTACTGTCAGAATCATAACAGATGATTGTTAACAGAGGAGGGTGTGAGAAGTTACTAGTTCTCAACACTGGCTGCACATGAGACACACTTATGAAGCCCCACCCTGAAAAACTCTAGTTAATCTGAGGTCAAGTCTGGGCATCTGTATTTTTTAAAGTCCCCATGTGAGTCTCTGCAGACAGTTCATAAATACTGATGCAAAGAAGTAGGGTTGGAGGTTCAGAGACTACTACATAAAGCCCTTGAATGTCAGATTTCAAGGAGCATGAAAGTCAGTGATAGAGACAGTGAGTGAAATGACAATTATGTAGCTAATTATCTCCTCATGCCCAATACACTCAATGCAATTATTACACACACCCCTGATCTCCAATGCCTGGGAACTTGACCGTGGTGAGGTTAGCTCATGTCCATACCCACACACTACACACTTGCATGGATTCCATCTCCTTTTTAACCTCACCATAGTCCAAAACTCATGAAAGACTATTTTCTTCTTACCCAAAACTTTTACCCAAAGTTATATAAAAATAGTATATTTTAACAATGGTAAAAACACATTCCAGAAAAGGTCTGTGGTTCTCTTGCATTTCTTTGCCAGTCACTATACTTTTAGTCTTTCTCCCTAGTGCCCCCACACCTGGGAGCACTGCAGAGTGGCGATGAGCTGCCCTACTGTCTGATTCACAGTCACAAAGAGGGAATTTTTAAAAGGTGTGTCACAAGGGAGTGTGCTTTACCGGTATTAATGCCTTCAGTTATTATCCACGCTCCCGTTGTCTCGGCAGCTTTGACCAGACCCTGGCTGAAGATCTCTTTAAGTTTAGATGGCATCGTGAAGTTCTGGATGCCCCCGTGGACAGAGATCACCAGCTTCGGCAATTCCATCTTCCACTCTTTCAGCATCAAATGTAACAGATGATCCAACTTTGTATCGTAAGAAGTTCTAATGTACTGGAAGATAAACATATACACATGTGCATAAAACAGTGAGAAACACATCATCATCATAATGAACATGCAGAGAGGCAATTAAAATCACCAAAACTCAAAAGGCAGGGCCTGATATCTCTTCAAAAGTTCATTTTCACATAATGGAAATATTTACTTTGCAAGGATCCCATGCCCCCTTTAAGTTCCTTCTGGGAATTACAAATCACAGTAGGAAGGCTTCCTCTGGTTTTCAAGGTTGCCCACCCATGTTCTCAGAAGGTCTCAGGTGAGGCAGAAATATTTCAAAATGACAAAAATCACTACTCCAGTAAACCCATTTACAAAAAGTTTTTAGAAGTAAGTGACATAGGGTTTTTCATAAATGTTATGTTTTAATTTACTTGACATATTTGCATAATTTAAATTAAGATCCAGGAGCATGCACATTTAATTTCTTGTAAATTTTACATTCCAACCATTTCCTTTATATTAATTATACCTCTGAAAATGTTTTTCCCCCAAAATAAATACTTTTCACAAAAGTGTCATATCTTTGATTAACCAATGTAACCAAAAAGATGAGGAAAATCCAAACCAGCAGGTAGCCCCAGAATCATTTTGCATTTTGCCTAAGGTTATAGTATATGGCTGACTTTGTTTTTCCAGCAGCGGCAGCCACACACAGATCATTAAAATCATGTTGAGATGAGTTTGCCTTCCTCAAGCATAAGCCAACCAACAGCAAGAATAGGTCAGATTTAGAGGAAGAAAAATGACCTGCCATTTGACCCAGTGATCCCACTTCTAGGAATATATCCTAAGGAACCCGAAACACCGATCAGAAAGAAGTTACGCACCCCCATGTCCATAGAAGCGCAGTTTACAACAGCTAAGATCTGGAAACAGCCCAAGTGCCAATGAGTGGATAAAGAGACTGTGGTACATTTACACCATGGATACTATGCAGCTAAAAGGGGAAGGATCTTTTATCCTTTGGAACAACATGGAAGGAACTAGAAAGTATTATGCTAAGTGAAATAAGCCAGTCAGAGAAAGACAAGTACCACATGATCTCACTTAGATGTGGAATATAATAAACAAAATAAAGTGATGAACAAAGTGGATCCAGAGACATAGAAGCATGGAAGAGACTGAGGGATCTCAGAGGGAAGGCAGGGATGGGGGAGTGTGTGGGGAGAGATTAATCAAAGAACTTATATGTTTATAAGCATAACCCATGGACACAGACATTGGTGTGGGGAGGGCCTGGGGTGGGATGGAAGTGGGGTAGAGGGGATCAAGGAGGATAAAAAGGGGACATCTGTAATATTCTCAACAATAAAGATAAAGAAACTTAAAAAAATAATAAGTCAGATTTACAGGAAGAAAGGAGGGCGATAAAAAAATGAATTATAAAAATATACCAAAAATAACCATAGGTGGATATACAAATAAAAGTTATCACATTTATCCTCCAGAATGTGAAAGAAATTTAAAACAATTTTCCATTTATCTTTGAAATTCAAAAACCATAATCTTTTTATGTCATAATTAAAACATTACAATTTCTGAACATCGTGATGGTGCAGCCATCACAGAATGCGAGTCATAGAAAGAATCTGAGGACACCTAGGAGTCAGTTCACAAGTGAGGAGAAGCAGTTGCCACGGCTTTATTACATATTCCAATAGTAGGAAAGAAATACAAGCTGGCCTTTGTGAAATGACTCATGTTTCTCCCAATGAGTAAGCGCAGAGGGGCAGCTCTGGTCTAGTTCATCTTTCCTCTACCCCAGCCTCCTCCCAGGAGCCCCTCCCTTGCAACCATAAGACCTTTCAGTCCTAGAAGACATTTCTCCTTGAGAGTTCAGGACAAACAACCTGGATTAAATTATCAGCACTAGAGCCTTTCTCCCCAAGGCCAACCAAAGACTGTGCTAAAGGTTAATCACACACACACACACACACACACCCGCCTTTATAACTAACTCCCTCCGCAGGTTAGGTAGACTCAGACCGGCAAAGAGCCAAGAACAATCCTCTGGGATGTGGTGGTGGGATAAACAACGGGGAAGGGGAATGCAGTGGAAGGAGGTGAAAAACCAGCTCTCACAAGCTTCCCCCTGCTCACGGAGAACTTGAAGGGCAACTCTGGGCTGAAGTATAGAAGAACAGACACTTCTCTTCTGGAGATCAAATAAAACTCATTCAGCTACTGTAGGATGTAACGGGAGCCAAATGCTAAATGTAAAATGTATTCGTGATCAGGAGGTCTGTCTCACCATATTTTCAGTTCTCCTAAATGTGCCATACTCTAATTCATGGGCCTTTGCACAAGGTATTTCTTTTGCCTAGAGAGGTCTTACCCCTCCGTCTCACCAGATGCCAAACACCTCAGCCATCTTTCTGATCTCAGCCTAACTGTCCTTACATTCAGATGGCTTCCTTGACACTCATGCACAGCCCCAGAAAAACAGGACTCACCTTTTTTATTCCCTCAAACAACCCTGTATTCCCTTTTCAGAGCATGCCCACTCTCTGTGGTGACTGTATATTTATTTCGTGTTTCCTTCACTAGACTCTAACTGTCTGGGTTCAGAACGAGCCACCCCAAGATGTGCCTCAGTGGTACGCAGGTTCCTGTGAGCTAAAGGAAATTTTAGCTTCAGGCTCAAGAGAAAATTTGGTCCCTCCCTTTAACTACTATCTGTAGGGCAGGGCAAACTTCTATTTGCTAAATGTCTGTTCTTATCACCCTGCAATGACCCTTTGAAGCCCCCCGGTGCATTGCTTCATCTCCAGCTCAGGGTGTCTTACACGCCTCCATCCCCCTTTCCATCTCTGAGCCTCTCCACCAGTGGGGTCTCTGACCCTCTTGTGCTTGCAGGGTTCCCATGCATATGTATTAAATTTGGTCATTTGCTCTTGCTGATCTGTCTCATGTCTATTTGACTATTAGGCCAGCCAGAGAACCTTGAGTAGAGGAAAGTTTGTTCCTCCCCCATAAAACCAATGGAATATACGCTCTTTGGGGATAGCAGAGTATGGGCACCCAGTATATTTGTCAAATAGGTGAAAAAATGAGTAAATGAAGGTGATTCTGAATAAATATAAGCAGCAAAAAAGGAAAGACTTAAGGGAAAAACTACATACAGACTAACTACATACATACTAAGAGTCGGCTTCCAAAACCGATTGGAGAGGAGCATGAAGGCAGTTTTCCTGCCAACTAAAGAAGACATCAATGCACAGAGTTCAATGCAAGAGGATTAATAACTGGAAACGCAGGTTACTGTAGAGCTATATTATGAAACTTTATTATGACTGCACTGTGAAGAACTGTTGCTTCAAATCCATCCAACTGATGCCACACTCCAGAATACAGCTGATTCTGAGCCTCCCCAGGTGCCCCACAGACACATATTTTCCCCTGGAAAAACTGCATTTAACAAAGCAGCAGGAGGTTAACAAGTTTGAGAAAACAACTGGGAGGTAGCTGACCTGTTAATATGCAAACCCCATGCAAAATTACCATATTAAGGACAGAAGGAAAATTGCCTTGAGAGCCCAGTACTAGAATTCCGGGGTGCAGAGAGAGGTTCCCCCATTCCCTTCCTGAGGAGAGGCTCTCACGAGGCCATAGCAGGCATGAATGGCCACGCGTTAAGAGTAATTGCTACCACCACGCTTCAGCGAACGCCTGCTGTCTGGGAGTAACTTTCTGAGTTTCACAGGAGCAGCCCTCTGGCAACTGTCTCAAGAGCAACAAGCCATCATCTTCCACAGAGGGCATAAGTTTGCTGAAAGAGCTCAGTCAAATAAACAGCGGGCCACACCCCTGGGAAAGGGAGAATCAGGCCATTTTTGTCAAGAGGTTAACGACATGGATCTACTTTTCAATAAAACCTGGTCATCTGATCATCTACACTTGGCGATATAATTAGGAGATACAATTTGGAGGTTGTAGCCTCTTAGAAACCAGCAATATAACGTGGGTTATTAACAAACCTTGGCGTGGTGGATGTGCGCGCCTTCCTGGAAATTAATAGTGCCAAAGGTATCTGTAGGGCTTCTCGTCGTGTGCTTTTCAACAGACCACTGTTCATTTTCATCGCCACTGGCAGCTGAAGTGGTCCAGGTAAAATCTATCCCAGGATGGTCTCCAATCAGTCGCCCACAGTAACACCTTAAATTTTGGATAAAAACCAATTTCAAAATAGAAAGCACACAATTTCTGAATAGAAAATAGAAGTAATGTTTCTACATTTCTCTAATGCAATGTACAGATGACATATATTAATACTTTTTAGATGTCACATTAAGATTTATATTAGATTTTCACACTAGACTATCCTCTAAGAACCCTCAGTGGTTCTCTCCCTTATTGCACATCACAATCATTTGGGGAATGTTTTAAAAAAAAAATACTAAAAATCTCTTGCACAGCCATGTCCATAGCAGCATTATTCACAATAGCCAGAGGAATGGATAAACAGAATGTAGTGTAAGCATATTACAGAACACTCAGCCTTAAAGGGCAAGGACATCCTGTGATGTGATACGACATGGATGAACCTTGAGGAAGTTATGCTAAGTGAAATACGCCTGTCACAGAAAGACAAATACTGTATGATTCCACTAATATGCGTGAGGTACATAGAATAGGCAAATCCACAGGGAAAGAAAGGAAAATGGTGGTTGCCATGGGTTGGGGGGCCAATAGGGAGTTACTCTTTAATAGGCAAAGAGTTTCAGTTTTGCAAGATAAACTTTTGGAGATTCGTTAGACAGCAATGTGAATATACTTAATGCTACTGAACTACACACTTAAAAGTGGTTAAAATGGTAAAAAATTAAAAATCAAATTGTAGAATTTAAGTAGGTGTGTTTTATCTTGTGTGAATTATACCTCAACAAAATTGTTTTATAGCCCTTGTCAGAGTGTCAGCCCGATACACCAAGGTTGTGGGTTAGGTCTCCGGTCAGGGCACACACAAGAATCAACCAGTGAATGCATAAATACGTGGAACAGCAAAATGATGTTTCTCTCTCTTTTTCTCTCCATTCCTCTTTTTCTCTCTCTCTAAAATCAATAAATTTTTTTAAATGTTTTATAAAAAATCTCAAAATCTCTAGTATACAGTACTTGAGGAGAAAATGCCCTCATGTAAAACAATATGCACATCAACAGGAAGGAATATTAATATAAAAAATAGATGCAACTTCAGAGAAATATGTAAACATAGAACTATGATGAAAAAAGAGCTATGAAAGAGGCTTGACTGTAAACATAAATAAATGAATATATGAAATATAATTTTAAAAGAACTTAATAAATATTCTTGCAAATAATTAGCAGTTTTGAAAATGATTTCATATTCGTAGCCATAATTTCTACGATACAACAAAACATACTAAGCAAAATAAAAGGTTACATCTTTTTAAAACTAAAACTACATAAAAATAATAAAATATAATATTCATCATATTCGTGAAAGAATGATAGACGTCTCATCCTGGATAAATAAGGAACAATCAAGAGAACAAATTAAAAATTGAATATGTAGAACTTCCATACTTTCTTCAATGAAAAATTATATATCTGCAGACCAAAAAAATTATTTGTATCAAAAATGTCAGATCATATACCTATTACATACAAAGAGATTATTATTCTGTCTTATAAATGATTCAGGTTTTTGTGTGTGTGTATAAAGCAACATACATGTACAAATTATGGGGTCCAACTAAGCAAGGAAGCAGGATGAAGAGAAATCAAGAAGTTGGAAGGCGGAGACAACGGTGGGGATCCAATGGAGGCGCTCTTGATGGTAAGGGAAGAAGGAGAACCCCAAATGTAAGGGTACACATCAGCAGGATCTACTAGTGAGAAATGTGTCTGGTCATCTTTTGGAGCAAGGGTCACTCTTAGAAATGAAAAAGCATCTCTTTATAAACTCAATGATGCATCTCACTGTGGCTTTTTCTAAACAGAACATCAATGGAGGCAACCACACCTGGAGAGAGAAATCATTACTCTTTCATAAGACTGTTATTCAGTTTGAACCCACTTGTTTCTTAGTCTTTTTCTAATCTAATCCATTTGATTTGAGTTTATATAGTGTTAGTCTAGTTTTTAAACAGTTTATTAAATTATGGCTAAGTAGAATATGCAAAACTGTTATTCTTTTGAGCATTTGAAATCTTAAGACCCTGTTGTATGTCATCAGTTTGGCTCAAATAAATTCTTATAAAAAAAAATTTTTTTAACTGTGGCAAAGTGGCCCCAAAGAAGAAACAGACCATCCCCAAAATTTAGGGGAAAAAAGATTCCATGTTCATCCCTTTAGTTATAACTTTCAGAAGTCCTAAATTATACATCACTAACAAGTACTAAAAACTCACCTTAAGAATCAACTTGAGAAAGGTGCCAATTTTATAAATTCTATAAAATATCCAACAAAATCCTAAAAGGATTTTTCAGGGAACTTGATAAAGTGATTCTAAAATTCATATGGACGTATAAAAGTGTCCAAAAGAGTAAAACAACTTTTGAAAGTAAAAATAAGCATAGAGTGTTTGCCCTGTTGGGTATCAAAATATATTTCAAAGCTATAATAATGGAACACAGTCGCATTTACCAGGAACCAGAGAAGTATATGTATGATATTGAAAAGAAAGCTCAGATATAGAGCCACAGACATATGGGAGCTTGGTATATAACAGAGATGACATCACAAATTAATGAGGCTAAGACAGACTGCTCAGTAACTGATATTGGGATATCTGGCTCTCTATATGGGAAAAAATCAAAACTGGGTCCTAGCTAGTTAAAATTATAAATTTTAACTGCTTTTAATTTCTGAATAGTATGAAAATAGATGTTTTTACAGTATTGTTCACATTAGTTTCTCTGAAGATTATAAGGTTGGGAGAGTACTGACAAGGAGAGATTCTGGAGAATCAAGTAGGAAGTAGGAGGAATAAATGAGAGCTTTTCACTTCACTACATGCTTGTGTTGCTTAGAATTTTAACAAAATTTTAAATAATTACTAAAACGAAAAATAATGTTTAGCAAAAAGTAAAAGAGGTTAGTTAAATGGAAACTCTTCCCCCTGTGTTATGGACTGAATTGGTTCCCCCAAATTTGTATGTCGGAGCCCTCGGTAATTGCCAATGTGACTATATTTGGAGATAGATCCTGTAATCCAGGAATAAAGTTTAAATAAAGTCATAATACTGAGGCCATAATCATACAGGACTGGTGTTTTTACAAGAAGAGAAAGAGACACCAGAACTCTATCAACAAATGCACAGTGGAAAGGCCATGTGAGGACATAGCAAGAAGGTGACCATCTGCGCAGCAAGAAGAGAAGTCTCATCAGAAACCAACCTTGACTTCTAGCCTCCATCTATGAGAAAACTAAGGAAATAAATGTCTGCTGAATACACTAATATACCCAGCAACCCTATCCTTCCTCTCATATCTGTGGGTGGTGTTTTCCTTTCCCCGTGATTTGCTAAATTTTGGATTCTGAATTTTTTTACCAAAATAAATTTCACATTGGTTCAAGCCATAATGTGAACTTCCAAATATGATCACAGTTAAGAAAATTTCCTTTTCTCCTACTTACAAATGAGAGGTAAAACCAGTTACTAACACATAGTTTAAAATGCAAATCACTGTTAAAATCTGTATTGCACTAGTTATTTTTGCCCATAATCTTGTGTGATACTGTGATCTGTAATAAATATATATTTGGTCTTTGCCCCTCTGTCTGGCACAGAGCTCCTAAAACCCTTGGAATTTCCTAAGAGATAAGACTGATAAAGGTGCTGGAAGGATGGGGTCCAGAGAGCACAATCAGGTGCTGAGAGTGGCACACTTGCAGAGGACATGGAAGCTCTGTGCCTCGTCCATACCTTGCCCTGTGCAAGCTGTATTCTTTATAATATCATTTACAATAAACTGGTAATCTTAAATAAATGTTTCTCTGAGTTATGTAAGCTGCTCTAGTAAATTAACTGAACTGTGGAGGGGGTCTCGGGAGCCTCCAATCTATAGCCCACCTGTCAGAAGCACTGACAACTAAGACTTTCAATTGGCAGCTGAAGTGGGGAGTGGGGGGTGGGGAGTAGTCTTGAGCTCTTAAGATGTGGGATCTGACACTTAATGGTGTTGGGGAAAAATGATATCAGAATTAGTGTCAGACTTAGAGCCTGGTCTGCACATACATCGCTTACAAGTCATAGATCAAATACAGTGTTGTATGTGCACAAAACATCTTCATTATCCAAATAAAATGCAAGACAATAAATGAAAACTTAATGCTTTACAAGTATTTCAATTGATAGAAGCTCTTGTCAAGGGCCTTTAGCCATTTACATGTCTGGTAATTCAATCACTGTTCTTCCAAAATATCTCACATTTCTTTTTTTTAAACTTCCCTTGGAAAGGAAATAAAATGCACCAATAAAGCCCTTTCATTGAGTGCACTCAAGATGTGAGAAAACTATTCCAATGAATTTGAAACAGTGTGCCTAAAAATTAAAAGAAATCATATAGATCTTTTACCTGATTAAGTTCTGGCAGACCTGGCATCCTGTGGTACATCTAAATTAAAGAAATAAAATCTGTTAGTTTGGTGACATATTTGAAGATATATTTAATGCTTATACAGTAAATATCTGTTCTCTTCCATGATCTGGAAATCAGAGTTTGCTGAGTACTCATACATCATTCCCCAAATATTCCCATGTCATTTACCAAATTTAGCTATGATCTAATTAAGAGAACAATACACTTGGAACCAAAATACCTGGATTTAAATCTCATTAATCACTCTTCTAAGCCTCAGTTTCACATCTGAAAATATCTGCCCTATAAGGTCATTAAAAGGATTATCTGCGATAATACATGTACACCATACATGGATGTGGGGTCAGCATTGTGGTCATCAGTGATGGCATTTTAGGTGTGAAGAATTTTTAACTAGAAGAGAACTCTAGTTAAATCAGTGGAAGAAAAGGTAGTGTTTGTAGCATCAGAGTCATTCTAAATTATTCAGAAGGGAATACTTAGGCCTCTCACTTTTTCCTGTCCCAGCCTTTTGGTAATGTCTTTTTCTTGGAAGCTTCACTTCAACAAGTTCAAGTGAGAAGGAAAAAGACGTTGTAATCAAGTCTATCAGATTTGTGTCTTAGAAGCTCCAAAAAGAATCAATAAAAGATAAACTTTTATCTAAATTTAAAATAGTGAACTATCACCCTTTTCCTGTGTACCATGAGGAAGAAACCCGCTTGAAAGCTACAATTTTGAGAATCTTACTGGGCTCTAAGAAAAAGGTTAGCATAAGAGGAACAGCCATAATCATCCATTGACTTTTATACAGTCAAGCAAAAATAGCGCCTGCTTTTTCCCCCATAAAATGTCATATATCTTGGACCATCCATGGAGCTAAGATCACTGATTTTTTTTGAGTCTATGGGTTAATGACCTATAGTTTATCACTATTCATGAGGTGCAAGGTGATGGTGAAGATGATTTTCCATTTACAGAGCAGTAGGAGCTGCCTGAGCTCAGTCTGCCTTCCATTGCAGCCACCATCACATTACAACACGTCATGAAGATTTAATAAGCATTTTATAAGCAGGTAAAATGAGAATTTCTAATCACAGGGCTTACAAGCCACAGGTAATTCAATAAGAGTGAGGCTAGTAAATATTTAACAAAGGCAAGAAACAGTATTTTAGTCATCCCGAAAAAACTAGGATTTCACTAACCTCACCATGCTGCCTTTCATAAGCATACAGCAGTGACTGCTAAACTTCAAATGAACATAAGGCCAAATGTTCAAAGGAATCTAAAAATGGAACGGTCCCCTAATTGAAATACAGTTGACCCTTGAACAACATGCGTTTGAAGTGTGCAGGTCCACTATATATGGATTTTTTTCTATAAATATACAGTCAGCCCTCCATATCCCCAGTTTCACATCCATGGATTCAACAGTATTTTTTATCCAAGGTTGGGAACCCACGAATAGGAAAGCCAATTACACGCAATGCTCTATGCCATTTTATATAAGGGACTTGTGTATCCATGGATTTTAGTATCCAAAGGGGTCCTGGAACCAATCTCTCTCAGACAGTGAGAGGAGTTAAGATTTCAGGGAATCAAGAGTTATACATTTTTCCCTGGCCCCTGTGGCTCGGTTCGCTGGGCATCACCCCATGCACTGAAAGGTTGCCCGGTTTCAGGACACATGCCTGAGCTGTGGGCTCATTTTTCTCTCTCTCCTCTAAATATCAGTTAAAAGTCTTTTTTTAAAAAGTTACATTTCAGTTGCACAGGTGGTCAGTGCAAATAATCCCCATGTTGTTCAAGGGTCAACTGCACTGATCTTCTATTTTCCTTTCAATTTCTTTTCCCCAAGGGCAATAATACCCAATCTTATTTCATGGACCCAGTCACACTGGGGGATTTTTTGTAACCCATCCTGCTCTTGTCTTTCACTAGCTGTTGTTTCTAATTTTGTTCGAGAAGTGTACCTTCCAAAGGGTTATCAAGAACTCAGAGTAGTCAAACTCTAATCATTGTATTCTGCTGCCCAAGATCTGCTCAGGCAAAAAGCCTCCGGGAGGAAAATGGGGCTGAAATTAACTGCTTGTATAATCTGAGCACAGTGTCCTGAAATATCCCACTTGCTATTTTCCATAGGCACTCTAGTGGAGGCTAAGGAGCATTCACAAAAATCTGAATATTCAATATTCAGAAGTTGTACATTTTTTATCGAAACCCAGTGGAATAGATGTAGTACCAGGTATTTCCTGAAATCTATCCTCCCACTAAGAGGAACAGGAGTATCAAAAATAAAACAGAGGCCTGGCGGGCGTGGCTCAGCGGTTGAGCGTCGACCTAGGATCCAGGCGATCGGGGTTCGATTCCCAGTCAGGGCACATGCCCGGGTTGCGGGCTCGATCCCCAGTCAGGGGCGTGCAGGAGGCAGCCGATCAATGACTCTCTCATTACTGATGTTTCTCTCTCTCTCTCTCTCTCCCCCTCTCCCTTCCTTTCTCTGAAATCAATAAAGATATATTTATAAATAAATAAATAAAACAAAGTAAAATCTACCAAATATTAACAGTGGCTCCATCAGGGTGATGTCATTATGATGTGTGTTTTTCTTTATATTTCATTAAGTCACTAAACAGTTATTTCCCAGGAACCTATTACCTGACAGGCACTGTCAAGAGGCCCCAGGGTTGGAGTGAGGTATAAAATTGACAAGTACCCTGTTCTTACCAGAAATCTGGTAAGAATTTCTACAGTAATCATGTACTATTTTTATAAAGACAGACAAACTTCAAATAAGAATAAATACTAACTATATAGATATTATAAAATTCTTTAAACAAGTCATATCTCTAGGTTTCCACAAACAGACCTCCAAGTAGTGCTGCTTTAAAAAGAAAAATGGAATTAAAAATTGTACCTGTGAGGGTCTTTGGAGCTGGGTATGATTTTGTTACATTCTCTCTTGTCAAACACACCTTCTATCCAGGATTTCTGGGACTGAATAGAAAGTGTTGTTATTTTTATATTTTAATTAAGTGAGAAAGCAGTGTAACCACAGCAGTTCATGCAGGCAAGACATATTAGCTTGGTCATTAATTAAAATGGCAAGACTAATCCCAAAGAAGCCAGGCATTTACTGGCTTCTATTACAGACAACATAGACACTACTAAGGCAAATGTGAACACAAAAATATTCAAAGTTTACTGGTCCATAATCTCATCTTAAGTGAAAGATCCCTAAATGCACAAAACTCTAGCAAGAAAGTAAAGACATAACTGATGCTCCCATAATTCTGCTATAAATCATTTTTAAATCTTACACCATAATTCTATAGAGGGAATAGCAAGCTCTCAAACTTCAAAATTCTCACTCATCAAGGCCCAGTTTGGCTAAGATTGCCTCAGTTTACCTCTTTATATAGGTTGGTAATTTGTCACACAGTCTGTAAGCCTGGCTTACCTTTGGCTGTGTTGTTTCATATTGCACAGCCTATAACTGTCCCTAAATCCAAGTGGGACATTGGTACTCACTCATCCTCCTAATAAAATCTCACCCATTCTACAAAACTCAAGTCATAGCCAAGCTCTTCCATAAGCTGTATTACATAAGTCTAGAAGCAGAAAGCACTGGATCCACAATAGAACCCAACCAACTGATGAACTTGGCCTTCTAATATAAACATATTTTAGCCCGGCCGGGCATGGTTCAGTGGTTGAACATGGACCTAGGATCCAGGAGATCTCGGTTCGATTCCGGGGCAGGGCACATGCCTGGGTTTCGGGCTCAATCCCCAGTCGGGGGTGTGCAGGAGGCAGCCAATTGATGACTCTCTCATCATTGATGTTTCTATCTCTCTCTCCCCCTTCCTTCCTCTCTCTGAAATCAATAAAGATATATTTTAAAAAAAAGAGAGAGAGAGAAACAGCAAATGCAGAGAGGCTTTCTCTAAACTTCCCCATGCTGCATGCTGGGAATTCTAGAGTAAATAAAACAAGCTCTGAAAAAATATAGAACAAAAAGGAGAAAGCAAATAACAAATTAATTATTAAACTTCCGTGCACCAATAAATTATTAAAAACAGCTCCAAAACGGATCCCTAATTTAGGGGCTGCAGACAAAAAGGGATTCTAAGGAAAGTAACCTCACAGGGTGATGTGATCATGGAGGGTAGTCACACATCAGGCATATAACTTTTTTCACAAAAGGTTTACCTTTGCCTCAAGCAAGCCCTTTGCATTGTTCTTGAGCACCTAGGTTTACACACTTTGAAATGCCAGAATAATCCTCTTTACAAATCCTCTAGAAAGCCATCATTCCCAAAAGAGTACATAATCTTGTTAACCTGTAATCCAAGACGGCCTCGCTTTCTCCCACCCTCAAAGTAATCATCTTTAGTTGCCTCCTGAATTCCAAATACATAAAGGAAACTGCAAAACTGTCATTCTTGGGAACATTTGATATCTTGTTTACTGGCAATTGTTGTCAGTTTTGGCTCAAATAAACTCTTCTAAAAGTTCTTTACAGGTTTGGAGGTTCTTATAGAGGCCAGATATACAAATTAAGCAAGCTGTACTCAACCACTCCCTTCTTTTATAAAGCTAGATTGATGACTTTAGTAGGACTATCTGGAAAAATTAATTTCTTCATGACTATTTGCTCATCTATTAAAAATGGAAATAATAACACCTCATAGGGCTGCTGAAGGCATAGATAAATTAAAGGCTTAGAATTCTCTCTGGGACTTATTAAGACTCAATCACGTTTAGCTTAATATCAGCAATATCAAAGGTGAAATTAGCTTTTGGTTGGTGGCCTGGGAACTTAACTTTGATGTTTTTTATTTTCAAAGAAAAATATCTCCTGGCCTCCAAATTTTCCACCTTGGGTCCTTCATACTTCAAATGGCTTTTATGGGTCTACTTTTTCCCCATTAGACTCCAGCTTCCACAGGCCCAGTCATTTCTGCTGCCCCAGGGCCCAATCCAATGATTGCTGAATGAGCAACAAAATGAACACACTTAAAATAGAACTTCAGGAATCCAAGTATATTTTCCCTCCAAAGGTATAAGCAGGAAATCTGTGTGATTAACAAGAACTTGGAAACTTTCCTTCTACAACTCCATTATCGCAATAGCCTAATCTACGGAGGACAATAGCCAAGGTGCTGTCTTCCACCACCTGGAGCGGCTGATTGTCAAGGTGCCGGTGCCAGTAGTGGACAGTGGAAATTAAGCCATTTCTGCAGCTATACTTGCAGTCTTTATTGACTGGGTGTTTTTCTATATACAGAGAGGTTTTGTTTTTTGTTATTTGGGGGAAGAAAAGGCAGAGGACATGGGTGGGAAAGAGTGTTGGTCTCAGGCTGAGTGTAGATCACAATTTGCCTCACCCTAAAATATAATCAAAGTTTTCATCCAATCCCAGGCCTGAGGCCAGGGTGAGAACTTCAAAGACAGGTCCAAAGACTAATCCTCCAACAGCACCTACGTGAACTATTCCCTCACTGCAAGTATTCCTGCATGGAGCTTTTTAGGGTTTCCAGATTACCAATTTTCTCTCAGAGGAATCTTTGAGGCAATTTTATTTATGTCCTTCATAGTAAGGTTTATATATACAATGGAGATCACTTCTTTTATTTTCTCAGTGAAGCACAGCAGAAATAACACTGCAACAAGATTTTATTTCTTGGTTTAACTCAGTGGTTAGAGCGTCAGCCCACGGACTGAAGGGTCCCTGATTCTATTCCAGCCGAGGGCATGGTTACCTCAGATGCAGGCTCTGTCCCTGGCCCAGGTGGGGATGAGAGGCAACCAATCGATGTGTCTCTCTCACATCAATGTTTCTCTCTCTCTTTCTCTGTCCCACCCCTCCCTTCCACTCTTTGAAAAGCAATGGGGAAAAATTACCCTAGGGTGACAATTGTTAAAAAAAAAAATTTACTTCTTAAAATTTGGTGGTGACACAAACCACATTTTTAACTTCGATAAATTCAAAATCTCTGCTAAAAGAATAAGAGAGAGGGCTAGAATCTTTTTTTTTAAATTGGGCAATTTCATTGCCATTCCATGTTCATAAGTGTATTATGCCCAAGAACAACAGCTCTCTAACTTCTGGGGCTTAGGACCCTTCATATTCATAAAATTTACCAAGGACCATCAAAAATCATTCATTTATATGTTTACCAATATTTACATATTAGAAATTAAAACTGGTACTTTATAAAAAATACTGACTCATTAGTTCCTTTAAAAATAATATGTTAACATTAATATATTTTTAGGAAAAAATTAAGATTTATGAGATGAGCATTGTCATGTATTTTTTTAAATCTCTTTAATGTCTGCCTTAAGATAACTGGATTCTCATATCTGCTTCTGCATTCAACCTGTTGCAAAAAGTCAGAGATTTTCAATCGGTGAGCCTCAAGAATTTTTAAAACATGCAATACCCGACTATTTAGTCAGGGGCACTGGCCTCTTTTCCCTTAGATTATCAAATTTTAAAAATGACAACAGCCAGCACAACAATGGCCATCCGGTATGAATTAATCAAAATTATACCTTTTTTTTGTCAGATTGGCAAAAAATGTATTTTCCGGTGTGCCGCAGAATTTTAGTAATTAGTTTACGTGTGCCAGGAGATGAAGGTTAAAAATCGCTGCAATAGGTGGCTTCGGTTGAAGTACATTAAAAGTATCAGCCTCACCCAGACATGCAATTGGAAAAGGAAATAGGTATTGTGGGTTGGTCATGTGACCCCAGGGAACCTCCACTCCAGACTCATGAGACAGTGAATAAAAAGGGCAAATAAAGTCTTAGCAGCATTATGAAAACGATTTTGATGCTGAGGATTCTGAAAGGGTCCCACGGAGCCCTGGGAGCCCCTGGCCCACACATGGAGAAGCCTGGCCGGCGGCGCTCGCAGGCAGCGGGGCGCGGGAGGCGGGCTAGTCTCCCGGGCGGCCTCGGGCCCGCGCGTCCGAGGCTGAGCACCGCATCCCAGCGAGCGCTCTACAGCAGCACAGCAGCCTCTGTTCAGTCTGGAGCTCGCTGAAGGAAGTCCCAACAGAGAGAAGAAGCAATTAGACATCAAATCTTTATGGACTATACTTTATGAGTAACATAAGGAACTTTCAAAGGACAATTTTGACTGCATTTCATTTTTAATCTTGAGCTAATCTTATTGTCTACCGCATGCTCCCTCCCATAGATGTCACCAAGGATGACAAGCGTGGGATCAAGCCTTCAGAACTCACAGGCAGGATATACTCTCTTCCTTTAAAATATTGATACCTCTAAGAATAGCTTTATTCATTCATTCATTCATTCATTTAAAAACACTGTAATTGGCATATCATATTATTCTAATAAAAATAAATAAACAAATAAAATTGTGTCCTAAATACCAACATCAAAGAGTAAGGACCTACATTTACAAATAGCTATCAAGTATGGTGCAAGAACAGAAAAGAAGTCCCTTCTGCCTGAAGATATCTGGGAAGTCTGCATGAAAGATATGGAATTCAGGAAAGTCCTTGAAAGGTGACAAAGGGTTTGAGAGGTGGTGATGGAATCCGTGGTGGTTAGAAATGCAGAGGTTTCAGACTGGTGGAGGATTCAGAGGACACCCATGTTAAGGTACAGTAACGCCATGAGGTCACCGAAAGCAGAAAATAGGGGAGATAAAAGAGCCAAGAACCTTCGGAAACATCTAAGCGTAGAGGGCAGAAGGAAGACTTCAGGGAATAAAAAACAGAGTTATAGTAAGGATGGGGACTTGATAACTGAAGTCAAGAAGAGAGAAACTTTCTCTCTTTAAAAAAAAAGTCTGCATTATTACAAAAGTAGGACGTTTCAAAGAAAAACTGAGAAGCTGTGTTTAATATTGCAAAGAAAGTAAGGAGGGTGGCGATTTTTGTCCATGATAAACAAGCAGATGGAAAGAGATTCAGGGAGTAGGTTGCAAACAGAGGAGGCAGCTAGTGTAAGATACCCTT